TTGGTGCCTGTGACTTGGCGGTGACTTACTAGATACAAAATATTATGGCAGTGCTCAATAGATACAAAATATTATGACAGTTCTCAATTTCAATTGTTTGTTCATATTACTCTGCTTGTGTTCGTAACTATATACTTATAGATAGACTGGTTGATAGATAAAGACATTTATCTACTTAAATCATTATTCGTGCATATCATATTTACTGGGAAAGAGACAATACATAAAGATTGATAGGGTGATAGATAGAGACATTCATCAACTTAAATCCTTATTCAAGTATTTCATATTTACCGAGAAAGACAATACATAAGGATAGATAGATTGATAGAGAGAGACATTCATCTACTTAAATCCTTATTCATTTACTTCATATTTACCGAGAAAGAGACAAACGTAGATATGAATCCGCAGAACACTAAGGCCCTTGTATCCACTGTAGTTCCAGCTTGCCTGCGGTTGGGAGTACCTTCGCTCGACGTACCAAAGCATCTACATGTTCGGCGTCACGATCGGGGCGCCGTTCAACGGGGTTCTGGCCGACAGGTGAGCGGCTCTCGTTTGGGAACGGCCTGGTGGGGGGGGGGGGGGTTCTTGTCCTTTGCTGTTTGGGGTTAATGTGTTCGGCTTTTTTTTTTTTTTTTTTTTTTTTTTATCTCCCTTCTTTCTTTCGTCTTTTTGTGTTACTGTATGTTTCTCGGTATTTATTTGTATGTGCGCGTGTAAGATTGTGTATGTATGTGTGTGTGTGGTTGTGTGTGTGTCTAAGATTTCTCATTCCCATAGATACAGACATTCATAATTCTCACAATACTCCCGAGAAACGTTAAGAACGGGCGGAAAATCTAATAAATGAAAAATATCGCGAACTCTACGGTATTTTTGACTAACTGGCAATAAAAAAAATAACTGGTTCGTAGTTTTGTCTACTACCCTTCAATCACATGACTAACGTTTTTTTTTTTTCTTTGGCAACGCGTTTTGGCCTGAAACCCTATTTATAACCCCCCCCCCCTAAAGCGAAAGATGAGTTGCGTTTTGGTTAAACTTGTTTTTATATGCTATACCATAACAGGAATTCTGCAAATCAAGTCCAGGTTTATAGTTCTTAGGCCTTCTTGTGCCTATCCATAAGATAATTGCAATAATTATAATTAGAGTATAAACATAACTGGGGACCATGTGTTTAAAAGCTATAACCAAACCTTTTCTACATTAAGGATAATTTTTTATTACTAAAAAAGTGAATTTTCGTATATCCACATATCTAGTCTGTTTTGCATAGCCATACTTTCTCTTCTAAGAATTGGAAAATTTAATGTCAGCAGCCTTATACTATAAAAGGAGTATCAGACTGACCTTAATTTCATCTTAGGGATATAGGATCCAAAATAACTTAAAATTCTACCATTTAACAGGTACGGGCGTAAGATGACAGTGGCCGTGGGTTTCGTCGCCTACTCCGCCCTGGCCATCGGCTCCTGCTGGATCCCCAACCTCTCGGCTCTCCTGCTCTCGCGCTTCCTCATGGGCGCCGTCCACCCCACGATACAGAAGACGGGATATATACTAGGTGAGGGGTGGCGGAGGAGGGAGAAGGCAAGGGAAAAGGAAACAGGTAGAGAAGGGGGAGAAGGTATAGGAAAGGCAGTGGACAGAGATACAGATGGCAATAACGATGAGGATGGAAGAGTGGAGAGAGAGGAGAGAGAGAAGAGAGACAGAGAGAGAGAGAGAGAGAGAAGGGGGGGGGGGAGATAAAGAGAAAGAGAGAGTACAAAACCATTTAGAGCGTTATCAATTTTCGCAGGCATGGAGGTCGCGGATCCCAAGTGGCGCACGCATATCGGCATTGTATTGTTTCTGCCATGGCGCTTGGTCTCATGGCGTGGGGCGGGTTCGCTTACCTCGTCCGGGAATGGCGGATGCTTCAGCTGACCGTGTCTTTGCTGTGTCTGGCCTTCTTGCCTACTCTGTGGTAAGTTTCGATGAGATTTCTGTGATACAACTTTCGATATCTGTGTCTATCTCTCACTATCTCTTTCTCTGTCTGTCTGTCTGTTTCTCTGTCTGTCTGTCTGTCTCTCTCTCTCTCTCTTATCTGCAAAGTTCACAGAGTCACTAAAGTTAACGGAAAAGTCCTGGTGTGATAGACCCTGAACTCCTTCCTTCGTCAATGTCTTCCCCTTTTCCTTAACCCTTCTCTTCCCATCCATCCTCCATCATCCAGCCGCTTCTCTTTCTACCATCCGTCTTCTCCCACCCTCCTCTCCTCCCTCCTTTCCTCCTCCTTCACCTCTCTCTCACCTCCTCCTCTCACCTCCTCCTTCACCTCCCTCTGGATTATCCTATTAGGTTCATGGACGAGTCGCCTCGGTGGCTGGCCGTGGGGGCAGCACCGGCGCGCCCTCCGAGTGCTGCAGAGGGCCGCCAGGTGGAACGGGGTCGCCCTGCCCCCCGAGGACGAGCTTCTGCTCCTGCTCAAGGACGGAGTCAAGGACGAGGTGCGAGCGCGTGCTTGTGCGCATGTGTAAAAGGAACACACTTTATCATATATATATATATATATATATATATATATATATATATATATATATATATATATATATATGTGTGTGTGTGTGTGTGTGTGTGTGTGTGTGTGTGTGTGTGTGTGTGTGTGTGTGTGTGTGTGTGTGTGTGTGTGTGTTTATATATATTTTTTTATCAATTTTCCTCGAAATATAAATCCTGTCACTAATCATGCTTCTGAATATACAATACAAGACAGAAGAATAATCCTGGTTCATAATCCTTTTATTTATTGTATTTCTTTTATCACTTGATCCCGTGACGTAGGCAATGGTACGCCCGCACCAAGACGCCCGCGCCCACACCGCGAGAGGCTGGTTCAGAAGGCGTTTGGATGAAGCATTTATTCTTTTCAGGCAGGTCCACTTTTCCCTCTTCCTCCCTCCCCTTCCTCTCCTCCTATTCTCTTTTCTATTCCTCCTCCTCCTCCTCCTTATCCTTCTTCATTCCTTCCTCATCGTCCTCCTCCTCCTCCTCCTCTTCCTTCTGAAAACTTTCCTTATACATTGCTGAAATATATCATACGATTCTTTATATGAATGAAAAATCTTGTATATCTTGTCTGTATATTTTGATTTCGTGGAAATATTGCAATTTCTGACATATTTCGCTATGTCGGTTACTGAAAGCGTGCAGAGGATGTAGTCTCAAACCCACAGAATTATTTTGATTATAAGAGCAATATGAATGGTATTAGTAATAGTGATAAAATTAACGAAGATGACAATGATAGTAAAGACAATATATCCTACAAAGACGATACTCATTTTGCTTCTCCACCACTCCCCCACACCCCTCACACCCTCGCCCCCTCACCCAACAGAACCCCCCGCCTTCGCACCATCACCCTCAGCCTGTACACCAACTACCTACTGGTGGGTGCTGTGTACTTCGGCCTCTCGCTCAGCGGCGGCGACCTGAGCTCCGACCCGTTCCTGTACATGGTGCTGACGGGGGTCGTGGAGCTGCCGGCCTACACGCTGGTCATCCCCCTGGTGGCTCGCTACGGCAGGAGGGCTCCCGTTGTCGCCTTCTTCTTCATGGGCGCCGTGGCTCTTCTCGCACTGCCCTTCGTGCCCACGGGTGAGTGAGGTTGTCTGGGGTGGAGGTTGTTTCATGAAACATGTATGAGGTTTCATAATGGAAAATCTGAGAAAAATGAAAGCATGATTTCCTTCTTTCTCATCTTGTTTTTTTTGTTCGTGTTGTTTCTTATGCCAAAAAAATTAGGAATTTACTGTCTACAAACATGTCTTCAGTCAATACCAAGAAGTTTCCCTGACAATCAAAACAGGAAAGTAAAACATTTAGCATAGATTACCTTCAAAAATATATAATAGAAAACGTTATTTTGAAAATTATAAGGGGGACTAAAATATTTAATTTTCCTCTCAGGTAGTGGGGAATCGATGACCTTAGCCCTTATGGGGAAGATGAGTATCGCTTCGGCCTTCCAGATCCTCGACTTTTACTCCTCAGAGCTCTTTCCCACCGAGGTTAGGACGAGGGGCATGAGCACAGCCCTTGTCATGTCAAGGGTGGGTCTACTTGTTCGCCTTTCATCACGGACTACTTGGTAAGTTTTTTTTTTTCTTCTTTTCTTTTCTTTTTTCTTTTTTTTAACAGGATAAATCATGGTGAATGTTATTATTTTTTTATGGGAAGGGAATATTATGTAAGTAGTTTGAATGAGCTTGGATGTGTTTTAGATTTTTACCAATCACTCTGCATGACAGCAAGATATGACAGTCTTCTTGCTTTTTGTTTAAATCTATATAATTTTTATAACGCTCTCTCCCTCCCTCCCATCATCCCTCTCTTTTTTCTTCCTTCCCTGTTCCTTCCTACCTCCCTCCCTCCTTTCTTCCTTCCTTCCCTCCCTCCCTCCCCGTTCCTCCCTCTCTTTTCCTTCCTTCCTCTCTCTCTTTTCTTCCTTCCTCCTCCCTCTCTTTCTTCCTTTCCGTCCTCCCTCTCTTTTCCTTCCTCCCTCCCTCTCTTTCTTCCTCCCTCCCTCTTTTTCTTCCTTCCTCCCTCCCTCCCTCCCTCTTCCTCCTCGCCAGGGCCCCTTGTACCCGTGGGCGCCGTCAGCAGTGTTCGGGGCGGCGTCGGTGCTCGCGGGACTGGCCACGCTCGCCCTGCCGGAGACGCTGCACGTGCCTCTCCCGGACACCATCGCACACCTGGAGGAGCGGGAGATCAGGACCAGGTAATTCGGCTGGAGGTTTACTTTGGAGTTGTTCGTCTGTTCCTTTCTTTATCATCCGTTTTTTAATTCTTTCTTTCTTTCTTTCTTTATTTTGTTATTGATGTTATCTGTGTTGTTAAGATCATTATCGTTATCGGTATGATCTCTTCTGTTATTATTTTATTATTCATTTCCTGTTGTTGTTATTGTTTTTTTTTTTCGTCTCCCCTAGTTTACTGTTTTTGCTGTCTTTTCTGTTTGTTTCTTACCTTTTTCTGTGAGTGATCTTTGCTGCTTTTTCCTTTTGAGAAAACAATATTTTTTTCTCTTTTACCGGTATAATGATTTTGTATGGAATTTTAAATTATAACTCTTGTCGACTAAGAGCTCTTACATTAATATCTGTAATCTCTGTAAAACAGACAGACTGACGGACAGATGAACATATAAGACTGACTGACTGACAGAAGGAAAGACAGAAAGAAATACAGACAGAGAAACACTGATAAACAAACGGAAAGATGGACTAAAAGACATATAAACCAAAGGACGGACTGAGACAGACAGACAAACCGAAAGATAAACTAACTGAAGCGACGACATACATAATTATAGCTTTGAGTCCTATTTCCCTTCCTTCCAACAGCGGGTTCCTGCGACTCCCTGTCCGCGATCCTTCCACTCCGGATTCCACTCCTCCAAGGGGATTCCACTCCAAGGGGATTCCACTAGGGGGATTCCACTCCAGGGGATTCCACTCCCACTCCGGGGATTCCACTCCTTCCACTCCTAGGGGATTCCACTCCTAGGGATTCCACTCCAAGGGGATTCCACTCAAGGGGATTCCACTCCTAGGGGATTCCACTCCTAGGGGATTCCAAGGGATTCCACTCCAAGGGGATTCCACTCCAGGGGATTCCACTCCTAGGGGATTCCAAAGGGGATTCCACTCCAAGGGGATTCCACTCCTAGGGGATTCCACTCCGGGGATTCCACTCCTAGGGGATTCCACTCCTAGGGGATTCCACTCCAATTCCACTCCTAGGGGATTCCACTCCTAGGGGATTCCACTCCTAGGGATTCCACTCCAAGGGGGGGATTCCACTCCAAGGGGATTCCACTCCAAGGGGATTCCACTCCTAGGGGATTCCACTCCTAGGGGATTCCACTCCTAGGGGATTCCACTCCAAGGGGATTCCAAGGGGATTCCACTCCTAGGGGATTCCACCAAGGGGATTCCAAGGGGATTCCACTCCTAGGGGATTCCACTCCTTCCACTCCTAGGGGATTCCACTCCTAGGGGATTCCAAGGGGATTCCACTCCTAGGGGGGGGGGGATTCCACTCCTAGGGGATTCCACTCCTAGGGATTCCACTCCAAGGGGATTCCACTCCAAGGGGATTCCACTCCTAGGGGATTTCACTCCAAGGGGATTCCACTCCAAGGGGATTCCACTCCAAGGGGATTTTGCCGACTACGAGTAACGGTGTAGATGAATGACTTTATGAAATGCTTTGTATATGTTGAAGATTTTCGATAGAGTCGAAAATTGAAATTAAAATGATGTAACGTGAGTGTTCACTTCACTGGCAACACCGACAACAGGGTGAGTCACAGGGGAATATGTACATATCTTTTCCGTATAACACTTAATAACAAATGAATGTATATGAATTTTGTCCCGAAAAAGTCTTAATATGATATGCATATGCTGCATGTCCTCCACTATACCTCTTGACCTGTTACCTGATCGCCTCCATTTGGTGTCTGTATTACCCTCATACTTGTATTTAACCCCATTCATTATAACTATTTCGAAATGTAAGGTATGTGTGTAAGAATATGTTAGATTATCAGATAAGGAATTTCTCGAAAAGGAAGGGGGGGGGAGACAGAGTAATCAAAAATAATATTATTAATGATGATAATAATTACGATGATAATTACAATAACTATCATAAGAAAAAAAAAAAAAAAAAGTTATTCCATTTTATCTTAATATTAGGAACTGCGAGCCACTCTCAATTGTTAACATTAATGTCACATTGTCTCATGGAAATGTTTTACACTAAAATAGTATACAAATATTCTTCCTAAGAAAATAAACATTATGTACATTTTACTTCAATTCTTTTCCGTATCCTAAGAGCTCGGAAATCAATGGTTTTGTCCCAGAAAAGCCTTCAGGTGAAGTGAAGTCATATTTTCCTGTCAACCTTTATTTAAACTCTGAACTCCAACGACCTGACTGAAAAAAATGTGTTAACCCTCCGGCGCAATGACCAGTAAATGTTGCATGACCTTTGGGAACTCTGAGAGAGAGAGAGAGAGAGAGAGAGGAATAATGATTTTGATATGTCGTCCTCGCTGTAACTACTGTAACGATAATATGACCTCGACATTTTAACCGTAGAAATATTAGTAAAAATGAAAATAGAGTAACAGAGAGAGAGAGAGAGAGAGAGAGAGAGAGAGAGAGAGAGAGAGAAGAGAGAGGAGAGAGAGAGAAAGAGAGAGAGAGAGAGAGAGAGAGAGAGAGAGAGAGAGAGAGAGAGAGAGAGAGAGAGAGAGAGAGAGAGAGAGAGAGAGAGAGAGAGAGAGAGAGAGAGAGAGAGAGAGAGAGAGAGTAGAGAGAGAGAGAGAGAGAGAGAGAGAGAGAGAGAGAGAGAGAGAGAGAGAGAGAGAGAGAGAGAGAGAGAGAGAGAGAGAGAGAGAGAGAGAGAGAGAGAGAGAGAGAGAGAGAG